GGGCTGTATCTTTCATTCCCTTGAAAATCCTCACATGTGCTTGAGGACCAAACCCACTCGTGCCAATAAGAGAAGTGCCTGGTGGTCTGTGAAGGCCCCCAGCCGGAGACAGGAACGCACCTGTAGGTTGACAGATTGGGGTAGCACTGGAGGGAGGGAGCGAAGGCAGGCCACGGGGTGGGGCAGGAGGGGTCACGTGGGAGAATCTGTTATGGGATGTGGGCTTTGACTGGGTGGGGCATTTTGTGTGTGTGTGTGTGTAGCTTTGATCCAGGGCTTTGCTCTAGATTGGATGGTGTCAGAAAGTGGGGATGCTATGATCGGGTATTTCAACAAGAGGAGCAAATTTGCCTGGAGATAAGCTATAATTAGTAAAACAAGGAAGAGCCACTCCTTTTGCCCAAGGGGTGAGTGTGACATTCTGTGGGTAACACGGTGGTCTTTTTGTGTGTGTGTCTGGCTTTGGTAAAACCATGCAGAGGCATGGTTCTGTCTCACTTTATCCTGGTCGCAGGGTAGCCCGGTGTGTTCTGAGACAGTTTCTGTCAGTAGGAGAGGGAAGGGCCCAGCTGTGAGGGACAGGCCACCTCGGAATGCCAGGGGCTGCTCTGCTCCCTTTCTCAGTCCAGAAAGGAGCCCATCCACCAGACCAGTTCTCGGGTAGGATGCTTAGACCCATCATCTCATGACCCTCAGACTCAATACAGCCCCAAAGCGATAGGCTCAGGGGACCGCAGCCACCCAAGCGCAGGTGACGGCTGCAGGCGAGGGCGGCACGTGTCCTGAGATGTGGGCCAGCTGCTCTGAGGCTTTCTGATACATCGGGGCCCACTGCCCTCTCCACTCCTCAGCTCAGAGGACGCACATTGGGAGGCTAGTGAGAATGACCGGTGGGTGCCACTCACCTCTTCTTTTCCATAGATGTGAACGAATGTTTGCATAAGGAGCTCAACGCCTGCTCTGGAAGGGAACTGTGTTTAAACACGGAGGGCTCATACCGGTGTGTCCGCCACCCAGAGGCGCCGGCCTCGTCTCCGCAGGAGCTGGACGGCACGTGTGAAGGTAAGATGTCACAGGTCTTGGCTAAGGAACCTTTCAGATGGACCATGGACCACAGAGATCCTCTCTTCTTGCAAAGATGAGCAGCTGGCTCATGGGCAGAGAGCAGTCCCTGGTTCTGTAGATTGTTCTGGCTCTCATACCCGGCTATTCTCACCTTCTTTCTTCAATTGTCTGCGAGATGCTGGTAATAGAAACACGTATGAGTAAATCATCATTTCTGCTCTCAGGAAACTCGGTGGAGAGCATGCCAGATGCTAGGCAGGCGTGATGCATATGAGTAGGATGCCTGTGGAATTTACTGTTTAAATCAGGACACTGAGAGTGAAGGGGCCTCATTAATACTTACACTGGGCCCAGGAGTAACCCGGACCATCTCTGGGATTACTGATTAATTAGACGTAAAAGAAAGAGAGAAATGAGGCAGCACGCAGATGTTTTGGCCGAACAGTGTAATAGATGGCAATTCCTGAATGAGTTGGGGGAAGACTAGGGTTATAATTATTATTTTTAACAATAATTGTTTAAATTGAGAAGGGGTTGAAATTGAGTGGAGAGGCCAGGATTCGGACTGAGCTGCATATTGGATGCTGGAGCTCAGAGGGGGCTGAGCTGCATACGGGAATCTGGGGTCATCAGTGTCCAGGTAACATTTCACTATGGGCATGGTTGGGGGTCCAGAAGGGGGGCCTGGTGCCTGGGGCTGAGGAACCCTGCTATTTAGAAGTCAGTACAGGAGGAGGAGGGGCTTGCAAAGAGATGAGTGAGATGGGAAGAACAGTAGGAAAGACAGTCTCAGGAGTGTTTACAAGGAGGAGTACAGAGCCTGGAGGAAGGGCAGACTCCCAGGAGGGCCTTTCTGGAAGATGGAAGATGGCTGATGCCAGAGCAGGCTCATGTGCTGATGGGAGAGACCCTGGTTGGTTCTTGCAGCTCCGGCGCCCAGTCAAGCTTTCTCTCTTCTGGGAAGCTGCTCTTGGACATCTCCCCTCCCCCCAGGGCTTCCCCAGCTGGGATGACGGTCACCTGCAGCTGCTCTGGTGGCCAGCGTGGGGTCAGGAGAAGCTCAGTGGCCACAGCCTGTAGGGCTGTCTGCAGGTGAGTGAGGCTGCAGGTGCAGCTGGACGGTGAGCTGGATAGGAAGGGGCCCGTTAGTGAGCATTCATTCATTCACTTACAGGACACATTTTACTGAGTTCCTATAATGTGCCAGGTGCGGTGCCTGCTATGCTGGGTGAAGAACAGACTAGAGGAGTCATGGCGGACCACAAATCCACTCTCTGCTTCCTTAGTGACAGAAGTTAGATTGCGTTTTGTGTGGAAATGTTAGTTGAAGAGACAGGTTTCCCTACCTCTCTTGCAGGCAGGGTGGCCATGTGACTTGTCTTAGCCAATGAGACATGGCAGAAGTTTCCATGGGAACGAGGAAGACTGCGTAATGGTTACAGGCCCTGCTAAGAGCAGGCTGAGCACAGGATTATGATGGCGGAGGCCCCTTGGCCATCTGAGCCGCAGGGTGACCTTGAGGCTAAGGCGCAGACCCTAGTGATGGGGAAACAAAGACAGTGAAGAGGCCTGGGCCTGAGGTACCATAGATGTTTCCTACACAAAGCGTCCGCCTGACGGGGGTCAAACCCTGTTATGTGGTGGGGTTTCCTATTATGTGGAATAATTTATCCCAATGCAAGTGGCTTGGGGTAAGGCAGGAAAGTGCAGGCAGGGTCCCGGAAGCAGGTGGCTGGTGGCGAGGTAGTGGGTGTGGCGGGGAGGTGTGTCTGCTAGACAAACACTAGGCCCCCCAGGACAACGGGGCGCAAACGACAGACTGGGTGTTAGTGGGACAGGAGACTGCAGGATGGGACTCCATGGACTCGGTACCTCTCTCAGAGTTCAGCCTAGAGCAGATACTGCTTATTCAATTTGGCCACTAAAACTTTCTCTTGTTATTGCAGAACCTGATTTATTACTTTAGCAACATTGTAGCAACAGCGGAAAGATAAGTCACCCCCAGTCTCAGCGCGCCAGCGAACAGTTTTCTTTTTCCCTCTTCTCTTCCAGGTTTTCTACCCTATTTAAATCCTGCTATGCGTGCAGTTTCGTATTCTGCTTTCTTCACTCGCCATTATGTCTTGTAAAGGCTTCCAAGAAGCAACCTGGTCTTCATCATCCTAATTTCGATGGTTGAGTAATAGTGATGGCGTATGGCAGTGATATAATGTCTTAGCTATTTGCCTCATGGGGGGCATTAAGGTGGCTTCCAACATTCTGCTATAGAAACTAGAACTTCCATTAGCGGTGTGAGGCGGTTATGGAGAATACTGTCACACTCGCGTTTGAATCACTTCATTTAATCCGCAAGTCCTATCCCCTTTAAAGGAATGGAACAGTTCATAGTAACACAGTCAAGAGCTGCTTAGCACGTAAGTCACCCGGGCTCTGCAATAGGAACCTTTACTGCATCACCTTATTTAAGCCTTAGAACAACCTTGCCAGGCAACTGCCCCATGGTGCATCCCCCAGAGGCTGCCCTCGCACAGCGTTGTGCCACCCGGTGGCCGTGCCCTTTCCTCCCCCATTCATGTGGAGGATCGGGAGCTGACCAGGGTTCTAGGGCTGTGGACTGTTTCCTCAGGTGACCCAGAGCTCAACGGGATTATGAGTGTAGGGTCCTTGCCGACTCTTCCCGCTTTGCCATGGAGGGGTGAGGGTGGAGGCTGCGGGATGATGCGGGGAGGACCTGGAGGGTCAGTCTTCATCACTGGAATGTTCTACTTCTTCCAGGATGAAGCTCCACGGGGCAGGTCTCCTGATCACTGCCAGTGAGTCCTGTACTTGGCAAATAGCAGGCACTCAACACATCTCTATATATAAAAGCCTAAGCAACCACTATGACCAGACGATCAGAGGACTGGCCAGTAGCTATGACACGCACTGAGCCCTAGGGGGCAGATGCTCAAGGCAGGAGCTGCCCGCTGGTGCTCAGTGCACTCCCACACCCAACCTCCACCGCCAGCCAACCTCCCACCGCCAGCCAACCTCCTGTGGTCTCTCCCCGCAGCTGGCAGGCCCCGACTGGCCCAGATTGGGACTGGGTGAGATGGCCCTGATTGGCCAGGAGGGACCCCATCTATGCACAAATTTATGCACCAGGCCTCTAGTATCTAATATTAGTGAATGAAGAGGGAGGTTTGAATGGTGGCTGTTCCTAGGATCTCTGAGTGTTGCGTGGTGAACACACCAGCCCACCTGTAGCAACAGGGCACTCCTCCACTCTGCGGGTCTAATTAGAACTGTGCGTGCCCTCCGCGTACAACTGGGCCTGCACAGACTCCCTTGCAGACCACCCTGGGTCTGCACTGTGGCCTCTGTGGGGAGAGTCCTGTCTGTCACTGAGAATAGAAGACTGGAATCAGTTCTTGAAAATACTCTGGTCAGTCATCTGAAAAAGACATTAGGCTCTATTTATAGTTAGGGATGTTGTCAGCCAGACTTTGCCATGCTGCCCGGACACTGAGTTACAAGGTTCCGTCCAGATGAAGGGCTGTCCCACAGGTGAAGGGAAGGCTGTCCTGCCCGGCTTCACTCCCTACCGGGCGGGAAAGGCGAACCCAGCGTTGCCAGCTCCGAAACAGAGTGAATTCCAATTGCATATTGCTAAGGGAAGAGGCACATGGTTTAAATTTAGAAGCTAATATAAATGAGCAATCTGCTGGAACGGTTTAGAGGTACAAACCCGTGGAAAATACAGCACAAATTTCACATGCTTTTCTTGTGAAATTAGTCATTCGATTAATGACACACGGGGCAGCTGGATTCTTGCACAGAACAGAGACCGTAGGAAATGTTGCCTGGTTGGCATGTGACGTTCCAGGAACACGCTCTGCTTTTCGGACGGGGTGGGACTGTTCTAGGACCCTCCTAACTCCGTCTGCCACGGTCCCCTTCTCCGCTGGAGCCGCATGGCTGGCCAGCACCGTAAAGAACCGTCTCCTGAATGCAGGGCAGGGCTTGCCTGCTCCAGAGCGGCCAGGCTGGCAGGCCGTTCACCGAGCCAAGACCCCTCATCCCTAACTGAGCGCTCAGGCTCTTGGCTCGCATCCTCAGCATTTCTACCTTTACGGGGTCAGGTCTCAGGGTGACAGGCCCCAGGGAAAAGAGGAGCAGCCTGACCGGGGTACCCTGGGAAAGGCAGCACCCCGGCAGGCTCCTTCCTGCTTCCCCAGAGGCGGGTCAGGGCTGCCCCAAAGACCCAGGGACACAGGGACTCCAATGTGCTCACGGAGATAAAGGTCACGTTCCCACATGAAGCTTGGGGAGGCACATGCAGCAGTGTCCTCGGGTCGCACAGACTCAGGGGTTGGGTGTTATTTTCAAGGGCCTCATTATATGAGGGCCGTCAAAAAGCTAAAGGGCCGTGAGAGCAGGTGTCCTGGCTAATGAAGAACTAAAACCCGGCTTTGAGCACAAGGGGCAGAGGCATCACGTCCAGTTTAACAGGCCTCGAGCTCTGTTTATAGCAGAGGGCTTTGGCCGAGCGTGGCAGGGAGCTGGCTGATTCTGCAGCAACACGAACAATTTTCCAAGTGGCTGTTCAGCCAACAGCTGCCTTGAAAACTCGTTAAAGAAGGCTGGGAGGTGGATTCATTTCCTGTGGCTGTTGTAACCAAGGGCCACACACCTGGTGGTGTCAACCAGCAGAAAAAAGGTAAAAAGAAAAGCAAAAGAAGGGGATCAAATTTATTTATTTATTTATTTTTTAAAAAGAGTAAAAGAGCAGTAATGTATTCTCTCACAGTTCTGGAGGGCAGAAGTCTGAAAAGGACAGATGTGTCTTCCTCAACCACGCTCTACCTCCCCTCCTGGCAGAGTTGTCAGGGCACAGTGAGAATTTAGGTGGAGGTCCCCGGTCCCACCCAAGTAAGGCCGGGAGGGAGGGCTGGGCTCACTGTAATTTATCTCCACCTGCTTTGAGGGGGATCCACAGGGGCTCACAGAGGGGAAGCACACACCCACAGGGCAC